TACTGACATTTTTCACAAAGCAATAATAGCACTAGTAATTTGAAAGTTTGACTTCCAAAATCTAAAAGTTGCATTCCACTTTCCTCCTGGAGCCCTCTCCCATTTCATCTCCACACCTTCATTCTTGTTAATACTCCTCTTCAAATGTATCACATCTCTAGCCCTTTATTGACTATGCCAAAGCCTTTCACTGTGTGGATCACAACAGTAGAATATTCTTAAAGAAATGGGAAGACCAGACCACCTTACCTGACTCCTGAGAATGCAGGTCAAGAGGCAAGAGTTAGAACTGGACATGGAACAAAAGACTGCTTACAAATCGGGAAAGGAGTATGTCAAGGCTGTATATTGTCACCCTGCTGATTTAACTTACATGCAGAGTACATCATGAGAAATGCTGGGCTGGATGAAGCACAAGCGGGAATCAAGATTGCCAGGAGAAATATCAAGAACCTCAGATATGCAGATGACACCACCCTTATGGCAGAAATCAGAGAAGAACTAAAGAACCTGTTGATGAAGGTGAAAGAGAAGAGTGAAAAAGTTGGCTTATAGCTCAACATTCAGAAAACTAAGATCATGGCATCTGGTCCCATCACTTCATGGCAAACAGATCGGGAAACAATGTAAACAGTGAGAGACTTCATTTTTTGGGGCTCCAAAATCACTGCAGATGGTGATTGCAGCCATGAAATTAAAAGATGCTTGCTCCTTGGAAGAAAAACTATGACCAATATAGACAGCATATTAAAAAACAGAGACATTACTTGCCAACAAAGGTCCATATAATCAAAGCTATGGTTTTTCCAGTAGTCATGTATGGATGTGAGAGTTGGACTACAAAGAAAGCTGAGTGTTGAAGAATTGATGCTTTTGACCTGTGGTGTTGGAGAAGACTCTTGAGAGTCCTTTGGACTGCAAAGAGATCCAACCAGTCCATCCTAAAGGAAATCAGTCCTGAATGTTCATTGGAAGGACTGATGCTGAAGCTGAAACTTCAATACTTTGGCCACCTGAGTGAAGAACTGACTCACTAGAAAAAACATTGATGCTGGGAAAGATTGAAGGCAGGAGGAGAAGGGGATGACAGATGATAAGATGGTTGAATGGCATCACCAACTCGATGGACATGAGTTTGAGTAAGCTCCAGGAGTTGGTGATGGACAGGAAAGCCTGATGTGCTGTAGTCCATGAGGTCACAAAGAATCAGACCTGACTGAGTGACTGAACTGAACTAGCCCTTAGGAGGCTCTCTAGAGTTGAGGTCAAGTACTTTATTCTTGATCCCTATCAGCTAAAATCTTTGAACATGAACCCCCTAATATATATATAAATATACATTTTCTTTACATGTAAAATTATGACATACCATAGAATACAAACAAAAACTTAAAAGTAAGGGATGAGATAAAGATGAAACAAGATTTTTAAAAGTAATTGATATAAACTAGTGCATTAATAATAAAAATAATTTGTAATTGACAATGTTTTATTTTTTAAATCTTAGTGTAACTCTCTTATTTAGCAATTCAGAAGTCTGGTTGGATTTATCTCAATATTTGATTTCAATAATTCATTCTACAGCAATAACTCATGTCTCTGTCCCTACTTGAAGACTCCGTCAGCTGTATAAGAGCAGAAGAGAAATAAAAATATTTAACTAGCTATATGGCATGGGTAGTAAGCAATTATAACAGCCACTCTTCAATCAGAATGGACCCAGGCTGAGACTGCTAACCCCACAGTGCCTATCAGCTAAATGCCAACCAGGATTTCAAGGAAAAGACAAGGCACTCTACCAACATTTGACTGTAGCTTGCTCTTGAACATTTATTGTAAAATAAAGGTGCTGTTTTAAAGATGTGCAAATATGCAAGTTTTAAAACTTTAAATTTAAAGTTTTAAAATTTTAAAAGGACTTAAGCTATGGAGGAAGCGTTTAGAAAAAAATTGATGTTTGGAAAATGTATCACTGACACCTGATATTTTTGCCCAAATATTTGTGTTGAAAAGCTTTCAAAAGTGCACACTTAAAACTAAAACTTTAAAACTGAATTTTTGAAAATAATTGGGAAATGGTTATCATGACCTAGTAAACTTAGTTTTTTTCTATTTTTGACTTATTTATATTTTTGAAATACAAACAGTATCCTTTAAAACTTCTCTGCTGCATCAACCTATCAGCTTCTGCTTCTTGCAGAAAGGGATACTGTGTAAAAACTCAAGTTAGATGGCCAGTTATTATATAATGTTTATGCATATAACTAAGTTATTTCTTCTATAAATTGTGTATTATTCAAGTGCTAGTACTATCTCTTACTCATTATTTGTCCAAAAAAATTGCTGGCAGTCAAGTATAGGGTATGTGTAACATGCCAGTATTAGGACTAAGTGCTTACAACAACCTTTTAACATAGTACAAATATCATCATTATTCTCATTTTACAACTGAGAAATTTGAGGTTATTTTCCTGAGATGACACAGCAATTAAGAGGCAGTGCTGAGATGTAAAGCCTGATATCCTGAGCTCACAGTCTCTAAGGATAATCACAACCCTATTCTGCCAGTGAAAGGTCATCTAACTTTAAATTACACAGAGTAGGATCTTTCTTGATACAATTTAGTAAACAAGTGAAAAAAACCAGAATGACAATTCTAGAAGTATTTTCTCATCAAATTAAATTATTGTCATTTTCTTTGGAAAAGGCATGACTGCCATGTGTGGCCATTAAATTGCAGTTCTAGTTTCTTGAAGACATGGCAGTTTTGACTTTTCTTACTTCTTAATAGTAGAAAACTCAATTGGTAAGGTGGTAACAGCAAGAACCTGTTATCTAGTATCTTCCTGAGTGACTAATTAAGAACAAAATGCTAAAAGGTGACTTTTAAAACTGATAGAGATGGAAATATTTCTTTTGGGGTTATTTATTTATTTATTTATTTTGGGTTTAAAAAGAAAGGGCAGCTCCAGAAAAAAGGAAAAGATATAGGTCGGTATGCTTTCTTAGCTCAAAGGAGAAAGGAAACAGAAACTTACATTAAGAAGCAATGAGGAGGATGATAAATGAAAACTATTTGAAGAAACTTGACAGAGAAAATCTCTATTAAAATAAAAAGGAGAAAATAAATGAAACCATGCTGTAAAAATACAGAAGAAAAAGGAGAGATTTTGAGAGATTAGATTCCTTGTACCCCAACTTCTTTCCTTCAGCAATGGCCCAATCAAGACTATGGTAGATTCCTAAAAATAGAGGTTTCTTTCTATTTTCCCTCAAAATCAGTTCTCATCACTCAATCTTCATCCAGCAAGGTGACTTTTACCTGAGAGTAAACATGTATTATTATTGATGGGTATTATGTGATGCTAACAGTGAGGGTCAGAAGAGGGCATCTATGTGCAAAAGCACCCGTGAAACTGCAATGTGCATGATTATTTAGATGTTACGAAAGTCTTCATGCACTTCTCCTCCCCTAGCACCCTGTATATTTTCTGGTTATTATTTATTTCCTGTCTTCCTCCTCCCATTAGAATGCGACATCCATAAAAATAGGAATGTTATTAAGTTTTATAAATTGACCCTAGTGCAACACTGGTCACAGAGTAGGTTCTGAATATTTTTTTAAGTGATTGAATGAATGAATGAATGACATAATCTAAATAGCAAACACTTAAACCTCCACTTTTGATCATCTTTCACCAGGACAGCAATTTCGTGGCATTAAAAAGATGACATTATTTCTCTACATTTAATCAGCAACCTCTTTTTATTCCCCAATGTTTGAAACTAAAGGACTAAAGGTGAGTACCATGGGACACAATGGTTTTTGGTTTGTTTGTTTGTTTTGGCTTTGAAATACTGAATATAACCTGCAAGCAACTAAAGAGGAGGAGAGGCGGACCTTCATAGATAATTTTGTATACATGTAACTAAGCATATAATGTGTTTATCTTCTATCTACAAGATAAACTTCCCAAAGTAACTAAAGATATGGTATTATTTCATGAAGAGATAGCAAAGAAAAGCATAAACCAGGCTCACTTGCAAGCTCAACGTTTTACTTCACTTCAACAATTTTCACTATGTGTTTTGACATTAAGCCAGTTGCTAGAGTCAAGGCAAATAAAATTCCCATTTGGGTGGAAAATCAGCAAGGGCCTACAAATATGCAGAATATTGTACTGGTCCTGTGTAAAAATGTCTTTTCTTTAAGCATATTACAATTCCCAGGGAGAAAAAAGCTGTTACTAGCTACATAAAATAGCAAATTAATATACCTCCATAGCAAATAAAATAAGACAATAGCTATAACGTATTGAATTGGATATTATCTATGCCTCCAGTAAACAAAGATTCTGTATTTCTCTTACCCAGTGCAAAACACCACCAAACTTCTCTGGCCTATCCAAACTTCATTGAATGTGCATTGTTAACCCATGTCCACGGGATTCTCCAGGTAAGAATCCCGGAGAGGGTGCAAATTTCCTTCTCAGGGGATCTTCCCAACCCAGTGTCTCTTTCATCTCCTGCATTGGCAGGTGGATTCTTTACCACTGCACCACCTGGGAAGCCCACCAACTGATTACTTTGCCTAAATATATCTTTTCAGTGGTCTAAACGACCCCTTCCACCTCCATATAATTCTGGACTATGAGGTTCTCATTATGAAGCAGATAAACTACCACCCATAGTCACCCAGGGCTGCAGAATGCCAGAGTGAGTAGCAACCCGAAGGACTCACATTTATGTGGCTTCTTGTACTGAACCAAAGCTGCCATTTTTCAGTGTGGGTGTCTTTTTTTTCCTCATGACATAGACAAATGTTGATGTTTACTACAAGTTGGTACATTAGTTGCTAATTAAGTTCCTGGCTGCTTCAGCCAAAACTTGCTGTATTGAATCCAAGAAAAGAATGGCAGCTACATCAAAAATAAGTTGTTGGGGATTTTGTTTTGTTTTATTAAAGGAAAGTTGTATATTAAAGAATATGGGGAACTTACATACTGGGAGAGAGAAAACTTTCAGTCTTGGCTTTCTTCTAAGCTGAGTTGGTAGTTCAAGTCCTTCCGCGTCTGTCACCAGGCCTTGGTCAAAGCCCAATAAACAGTACAATCTACGCGTGAGGTAATAAAGTTAATTAACTGTTTATCATTACTTGCTCTTTTTCATACCCACCCACAAATTCCCAGAGGAAGGAGTTACTTCTTGGGGACCCACAGGAGGGCAGGTTTATCCTGGAAAGAGCTCACTTCACCCCGGGGGGCTACACCTCTCCGAAAAGATGTTTTCTTAGTATCATCTCTTTGCTCGTCCCTGTCACCTCACGCTCGGGCGGGGCTGGGGGCTGCCCGCATTCGCCAGTCAAGCCTAATCACTTCCTGTTGACATCAGGGTCTGTGGCAGTCCCTCTCTCTCCACCTCTGGGCTGGGAAGTCCCCAATCACGCTTGCAGATCTTAGCTGACAAGGGGTGGTGCGAGACAGCCGCGGGGCGAGAAGTCGGAATTTTCAGGCCGAACCCTGCAAAGTCGACAAAATACCCGCTGGCATTGCTGAAGCGCTACTGTCTTACTCCGTGGAAGAGAGAATTCGCTTTCCGTTTCTGTTTCCCACGGGGCCAGAAGACTGTCCTTACCAGAACCGACCAAAAGGTGGCTCCTCCCCGACCAAACAGACGCTCCCAGCCCAGCGGATTACGTGTGGAAAGTCCTGAAGAAGAGAATCGAAACAGAAACCGAAGTCAGGCAAACTATATAACTGCCTGGCGGAAGGCTGGCCTCGAAACTCCTACCCGAGTGAGCAGAGCCGGCGCGCTGGTCCCCGCTCTCGCGAGCGCCCGCCGCCGCCGCCGTGTCCCGCGCACCTGCCCACCTGCCCAGGTGCCGCCGCGCCCCCGCGCGCCCGCCTGGGGGTCCTGCAGGCAACCCTGTCGTCAGGCGCGTTGCTGCAGGCCCTGCGGCTCCGAAGCAGCAGCGAAGACATTTATCATCCGCTGAGTTGAGTGAGAACAACTTTTCCGTCTACCCGGAAGAATCTTTTCCCACCTCTGAGGAAGAAGGATGTCGTCGGAAGAGAGTTTCGCAGACAAGATTTTCTGCTATCTCATCTCATGTTTCAGGGCCAGAGTGAAAAGGTATATCCAGGTGGAACCAGTGCTGGACTACCTGACTTTTCTATCTCCAGAGGTGAAAGAGCATATTCAGAGGACGGCCGCAACCAGTGGGGACATTCAGGCAGCTGATCTGCTTCTGAACACCTTGGAGAGGGGGAGCTGGCCGCTCGGCTGGGCTAGGATGTTCGTAGAGGCCCTCCGGCAGGCAGGCAACCCTTTAGCCGCCCGCTATGTGAACCCAGAGCTCACGGACTTGCCTTCTCCATCGTCTGAGAACGCTCACGATGAGTGTCTCCAACTGCTGAACCTGCTTCAGCCCACACTGGTGGACAAGCTTCTGGTTGCAGATGTCTTGGATAAATGTGTGGAGGAGAACCTGTTGACTATTGAAGACAGAAATCGGGTAGGTGTCATTTCAAATGGAGCTGGACTTAAAGGCAGATATTGCTACTTGGGGTTGTTCCCCCATTTGCCCCATTCCAAATGTTTTTTGACATCTTTGGGTAAATTTGGTTCCGTCCTTCCTTGAGAATGTCTAGCCTTTTAAAAATATAATTTTGCAAATTTAAACACAAAACAGCTATTTTTTTCTAATTCTTTAACTGAAATGAGCTACAGAAGAATGAACTCTAGAAAAATAATGTATGCTAATAGACAGCATTTATTTAACACTTACTGTGCAATTAGATTTATTTGCAAAACCTATTAGAGTTCATGCTCACAATAATCTATTGAGTTATTAGCTAATAATCTAGTATTATTAACTGTGCCATTTTACAGATGAGTAGACTGAGGCAGGTTAAATAACCTGCCCAAAGTGGAAGACAGTGGTAGAGGTTGGGATTTAGCTCCTGATGTTGTGAAATTTTATGTCATATTATATGTAGTTGTATAGAACGGGGATCAGCAAACCATGATCCATGCTAAATCCAACCCAAAAGCTAAGAATGATGTTTAAATTTTAAAATTTTCAGTTCATAAAGAAAGTTTTACTGGAAACAACTATGCTCATTCATTGACATTCTGTGATTGCTCCTGCACATTAAGAGCATTTGAACATAGAGTCATATAGCCCACAAATCCTAAAATATTCATTATCTGGGCTTTAAACAAAGTTTTTCGATCTCTGGCCTATATTACGCACTATGCCATTTACTTTTGGTCCAAATGGGGAACTTACATAGTACATACACACAAACACACACACACTTTTTTTTTCTTTAATCACAGTTTCAGCATTCTTTGGGAATCAAAAATTGGAGATAAGTAATTGAAAAAAATATGTAGCCAGTAGTAATTTTCCATTTTAATAGAAAAATAATGGATTTTTTAGGTGCCATTTTGACAGGAAGAATTTTACAGGAGATTACACTTAGTGTTTTATTGTTCATTGTTTTTCAGTGAATAAGGAAATACTGTGGCATATAGAAACTCTGTCCTATTTGAATCTGACTTAGAGTGTACAGTGAAAGTTTTATTTTGAAAGGCATGTAGGCAAATAAACCCATTTTGGGGGGTCAAAGTCTACCATGCTGTGATTTTTGACATTTTCTTTCTTTCTTTCTTTCTTTTTAGTTCATCAATTGTATGTATCCTCATTACAAAGTTCTGGGCACAGGACTCCTATCAGCTTATGATGTGACTTGATCTTTAGTGACTAAAACTAATGCTCCTTTGTCAACTTGATAGCCATAGGGCCTGTACAAAGACCTAAGTGTGTATCTAATTTTGATGGCTGGTTTTCCCAACAAGTAAATAACTTTACACTGTTGTCAGTAAGGTTTATGTAGTTTTGTGTATTGAGAACCAGCTAGAACGCATTATAGTAGTCCAGCTGGATATGACAAATGTGTACATCACTGTGGCAGAATCTTAATTTGGAAGACAGTATGCAGCCTTCAAGCCAGCTGGAGATGGAAGATGGCATTTCCAGCCACAGTAGCTGTTAGGAAGTCCAGAAGCAACAGAGTCCAGTAACACCACAAAGCTGTTTATGTTTGGTGGGTATGATGTCCCGATTGCCAGTGAAACAGCACTTCTCCTTATTTACTCTAAATACGTCTGCCTATCAGCATCACTTTTGTCTTGCCTGGATTGAATTTCCGCCAGCTAGATTTTATCCAAGTTCTTGATTCTGGCAAGCTTGGAGGCAGCTAGCAGGAATGCAAGGGATTTGACACAAAGAAGATACACAGTAAAAGGACATTTGTGTACTGGTAGCAGTTAAGGCCAAAGCAACCCCATTTCTCTCTTATAAGGGAGAATGGAGGAGCAATATATGGAGGCTTTCTAAGGAGCAGTAGTGTCTGTGTGAGATCCTGGCACATCATTCTTAAAGATACCATCTGTCTCAAAAGGAAGCAATGGCGGATGATGGGAAGGAAACACTAGGTTTAGGAGAATCCATAGCATATTGATATTGATATGGTTCCTTGAGGAATGTTTATCTTATTACAGAAAAGTGTAGTGAGGAAACCATGGGAATTTGGAATGGCAAGACCTGGATTTTGACATCTCTGTTTCTTACCATCTCTATTCTTTTGGGCCAAATTATTTAAGTTTCCTGACCCTAAATGTACTATGAAAATGGGTATAATAATAATTTCCTCTCCCATTCACAGTGTTTTCGTGAACATGAGTGAGATACAGTGTTTATGAAAAAGCTTTATTAATAAGCAAGAGCTGTTTTGATATGATGATGACTTCTATTATTTATTTGGTTATATTTCCTTGTGAATTTAAAGTTTCAAGAACTAAGGTAAATGCCTTATGTTGAAATTGAGATCTGCCTCCTAAATTCCATGGATTAAACTGTGAGTTGAGGAAGAAACTGTTTTTCATCTAAGGATGAAACCAGGACCTAGTTAGAATTAAGTATGATATTGGTGCTTAATAAGAATTAATTGATTGGATTAATTTCCAAGAAGTTGTCCAGAATGAAAAATGAAAATGCTTGGTGTAATGAATTGCTTTGCCAGGCATCAAGGGGGAGGGGAGGAGGAATGGTTGGATAGTGGATATAAGATCTCCAGGTTTGCTTTTTTGACATCTTAAAATAGCATTTAACTAAGAAATTAGGACTTCTAAAAATAATTAATTGATTAATTTTTTTGCTTCACCACATAACTTGTGGAATCTTAGTTTGCTAACCAAGGATTGAACCCAGGGCCCCAGAAATGAGAGTACTGAATCCCAACCACTGGACCACCAGGGAATTCCCAAAATATTTTATTTTTGTTCTTTTCCTGTTTTCCAGTTGACATTTTCTACTTGGTCTGTATTTTAGTTTAGGATTTCCACCTCCACCACCCAATCCCTGTCCCTCTTACACAAGTGCTTCTAAAAGTGATCCTAGATTTAGTTTTGTGACCAGCAGATACCCAAAGAAATTGATTTAATTGATTAATTCTTCATTCATTCCACTTGAAAATATGGAGTGGCATGTTGCACCAGACACCAAGTTAGTGCTGAAAAGATTGGAGAATAATACAGATATTGCCTGTGCTTTCATGGAGTTTATGATGAGGTGTTGATCCATGTTCATTCTTCTAACAAATAGGTACAAAAATGTCTAGTATATGTGAGGCACTATTGTAAATGCTGCTGCTGCTGCTAAGTCGCTTCAGTCGTGTCCGACTCTGTGCAACCCCATAGACGGCAGCCCACCAGACTCCTCCGTCCATGGGATTTTCCAGGAAAGAGTACTGGAGTGGGGTGCCATTGCCTTCTCCGTTGTGAGTGCTGAAGACTCATTAATAAATACAAGGATGACTTTACAGACCATTAGAATGATCCCTAACAGTAAGGGGGTGCTCCTGTACTGACCTGCTTCTATTTAGGCCACTAAGTGACATCTTAGTACATCCGTGACTTAGACAGCCGTGAACTCTGGATCATATAAACATTTCCATAGTGTCTTAACAGCTTAGGTAAGCTGTATATTTCAGCCCCATCCAGTTCAAAGCATTAACCATCTATAGTCCTGGAAATCTTTATACACCTTTCATTTATACAAAGAATCAGAGATAGCATCACCAGTCCAGCTAGAAACCACCCAGTTCTATTTCCATGAAGTTGAGTATTGGGGTCAGTCTCCTTCCAGCTCATTGTATTGCCACCTAAATTAGGATGGATAAGATTTTTTTAGCAATAAAAAGTACTGATAAGAAGTTAGTTATGTCTGTGTGACAGTGCTTATTCATTCAGAAAGACATGAACTTTTGGAGAGAACTTGTTCTTTAAAATTCTTTGCTTTTAATGTGAGTTTGCTTCCTGATTTACTGGTACTGAGGGTTAGTTCTGCTATGTTAAAAAGTCACCATTACTTTTAAATAGATATCTGAGGTTATTCTGAGGGAGAAAAACCATTTTTATTGAACTTTACAACTGTGTTGGCTATCCAGGGTTTAAAAGAAATATCATTGGTTTCTCTACTATTGTATGTTAGAAAAAGCTAGATCAAAGAATTCAGAATATGAAATCTCTGAACTGTGTTACCCACAAATTCATATTTATTTTACATTCCATATATTAGTTAATAATGTATCCATAGACATTTTTAACTGCATAGTCAAGAGAATACATTAAATGGGGATGAAATATGAGTGGGAATCATTATATGTCCTGTTTCAGTCTCAAGTCTAAATATTCACTTCCCATGAATTTTAATGATCAAGGGTATGTATTGGGAGCTTATTTTTCCCTATGTTTTAGGAGAACAGATTAATTTTAAAAAATTTAATGGTTGCTTTAAAGGAAATTGATATACTTTCTAGCATCCAAACTAGGAAGATTTCTTAAAAATTCAGAACCTTGATGACGCTGCTAAACTTACACCGGTATTATATGTAGTTCCACATTCAAATAATAAAAATACTTGTAGGAAATAATGGAAAAATACGTCTCAAATTCCTGAACTGAGTAAGGACAAAGCAAGGTTGACAAATACAAATCATTGTATACTCAAAGAAATAACTAATTAATAGTCAAAGAAAATTTAGTGGATATAATATATTAGCTTTTAAAAATATAACTATTTATTACACTGCTTCCCTTGTTCATTTTAGAGAAATGCTTCCTGATTACTTCTATGGAATGAGTTCAAAGCTGATTAAAGGCTGAAATAATTAAAAATGGAGTAGTTGAGTTAAAAGAAGATACTCGAACCAGTCTCATTTAGCATCTTTAGTGACTACTGCTTAAATTAGTAGATAATAATAAAAATGTTACAAACACCAGAGAAGGCAAAGAATTTCCATTAGAAAGTTAATGAAATTAGAGAAAAGTAGGAAATGAGTGAGAATCTGCTTAGAAATGCTGTGAGGAAGAAATTCCTTAAATTTTATTGTCATTTTAACCACTTCTCGTCAAAAAATGAACTTAAAATTAGAGACAATTACCAGCTATAATTAGAGTTCAGGAAGGCAGCATTCAACTTCTGAAGCCAGTTGCCTGGGATCAAATTCTACCTCTGCTGTTTACTAGCTTTATGGTGTTAGGGAGGTAATTGGACTTCTCTGAGCCCTGGATTTTTGATCTGTAAAATGGGTTAATGTCGGTATCTTCTTCAGAGTTGTTGGGTTGATATATGCAAAACCTCCATAGTTAACTATTAGCTAAGGAAATGAACATATCCATTGAGTGGAAATATGCAGTATAATCTTGTACTAAGTAGTATCCACTGGTGAAATATTTATAAAGATAGATGATTTTCCCGGTTACCTATAATAGTAATTAACACTGAATTTGTACCAAGCATTGTTCCAAAATGCAAATTCCTGATATTAGATGGTTATGGGAATGTTTATAGGACTAGAAGATATGCACATTTGTAGGAAACAATCTAGTTGAAAGGTCCATATTTTACTAGAAGATGGATAAATGTTGAGAAGGACCTTTGAGAGTATGTAAGTCACTATTTCTTACCTAAGCTGCTGGCTGGAATCAAGAGATGCTTTTGAAAAAAATTTCTGGTTTCCCAACATGGACAAATGAGAATCTCTGGGGGCAGGTCTCAGATATCAGTATTTTCTAAAGTTCTCAGGTGATTCTAACCTGCAACTAGGACAGACAAAGCCTGAAATTTCATTTCCGTTGCTTAATTTTACACATGTAGAAACTGAAGTCTGGAGAGGTGAAGTGGTTTGCCTAATGGCACAGCAAGCTGACTGTGTTCTACCTAATTTCTTTCTGGTCTAAATGTGATCTTTTCTCCAAATGTTTGGCTCTATATTAAGAATTGGGGGGATTCATTGTAATAATGATTACACAAATGATTCACATTTTTAAAGATTTGCTAGATTAATCTATAAAAGAAATTAAATGAAGGCTTAAGAGGAATGAATGGATATACAAATAATTCTTCCCTATTTTTAAAAAAGATATATAGAAATACATTTCTTATAGTAGTAAGTAAACACAAATTTAAGAAAAAATATTATAGTAATGATAAATAGCACAAATATTAAAGAATATAAAGCTGTGATAGTGATTACTTACTCCATAATGGTAAGAGTCAAGAAATAGAGGTTGAATAACAAATGTTTGATTTCCTATTTATAGACTCCATGAGTTGAAAACAAATAGCAAGCCCTAGATATACAGAAGAAAATTGATGCAAATAGACATAATGTAGGTAGAGATTAAAGACACCTTCTTTTGCAACCCTTATTCAGAATGATAGAGGTAAAACATCTGTTTCCTGTGTCAGGTTTGACTATCTCAAAAGCTTTAAAAAATGGTGGACATTTAAAAGGGGGATTGACCCAGCGAATTTCCTCCCTCTAGAATCCAGAACTTCTGCAAGTGGCATTGATGTTTTCTTTAATGTTTTATTATGAACCTTTACACATATGGTTCAGTTTTTCTAACGGCTAGTTTCTGTTTAAATTTATTCGTAAGATGTTTGACTTCTTTAATTCTACTTTTCTCTTAAAACAGGTTTCTGCTGCAGAAAATAATGGAAATGAAGCAGGGGTAAGAGAGCTACTGAAAAGGATTGTGCAGAAAGAAAACTGGTTTTCTACATTTCTGACTATTCTGAGGCAGACGGGAAATGATGAGCTTGCCCGGGAGTTAACAGGCACCGACTGCTATGAAGGCAATACAGGTATTGCTAATTCTGCAAAGGACAGCTTGGTGTGTTTTGCCTAGTGATTGAGAGTTTAATGAAGCCTATAGATATGGTGCCAAAAAAGAGGATACTTAGAATCAGAATTTCAGATCTGTTTTCTTCTCTTTACAAATGAGGAAACTGCTGCCTGGGAAAAGATGAACCTCCCAAAGACCACAATACTCAACCAGCTGGGCTAGAATATTGGCAGCTGACTCCTCGTCCAACATGTTTTCCATTTTCCATCTTATTTTGGAAACAAAGGGACTGTCTGAGATTTTTATCAAGATCCTTTTAACATTGCTTAGACAAATAAATTGGAAGAAAATATTTTAGTGGTTATTACAATTATGCTGCAAAGTTTTCAGGACATTCATATAATACTTTGAGGAATTTATTAAACATTTGATAAAAGGTCTATAATTGCTAATGTATCACAATATTATTTTCTGTGAGTTTTTGAAAGTGTTCAATTATAATAATACAAATAGCATAGCTCTTTCACATGTGTTATTTGTAAATATAGTATTAACTGCCACCTTATTTTTCTTTATAGAGTATGTATCCTATATTTTAAAAAAGTATCAAATGAAAGACAAATTAAAATTTAGTTGGCAATGAAGGGTTACCAATATATAGTTGTTATAATTTATACACAATTATATATAATTTAAATGGATTGTAATCATTTCAAGCTTCAGTCAGTTCAGTTCAGTCACTCAGTCGTGTCTGACTCTTTGCGACCCCATGAATCGCAGCACGCCAGGCCTCCCTGTCCATCACCAACTCCTGGAGTTTACTCAAACTCATGCCCATCAAGTCCATGATGCCATCTAGCCATCTCATCCTCTGTCATCCCCTTCTCCTCCTGCCCCCAACCCCTCCCAGCATCAGGGTCTTTTCCAATGAGTCAGCTCTTCACATGAGGTGGCCAAAGTATTGGAGTTTCAGCTTCAGCATCAGTCCTTCCAATGAACACCCAGGACTGATCTCCTCTATGATGGACTGGTTGGATCTCCTTGCAGTCCAAGGGACTCTCAAGAGTCTTCTCCAACACCATAGTTCAAAAGCATCAATTTTTCAGTGCTCAGCTTTCCTCACAGGCCAACTCTCACATCCATACATGACCACTGGAGAAACCATAACCTTGACCAGACAGACCTTTGTTGGCAAAGTAATGTTTCTGCTTTTTTAATATGCTATCTAGGTTGGTCATAACTTTCCTTCCAAGGAATAAGCGTCTTTTAATTTCATGGCTGCAATCACCATCTTCAGTGATTTTGGAGCCCAAAAAATAAAGTCTGACACTGTTTCCACTGTCTCCCCATGTATTTCCCATGAGGTGATGGGACCAGATGCCATGATCTTAGTTTTCTGAATGTTGAGCTTTAAGTCAACTTTTTCACTCTCCTCTTTCTGTCATAAGGGTGGTGTCATCTGCATATCTGAGATTATTGATATTTCTCCCGGCAATCTTGATTCCAGCTTGTGCTTCTTCCAGCTTACTTCACTTCTTTTATTCAGTTAGGCGTTCAATCAACGTGTAACGAGTACCAACAATATACCAGACACTGCTCCAGGTGCTGGGGATATGGACTTAAATGAGACATATGCAGTCCCTGTTTCCATAAACCATACTTTCTAATGGAATAAGAAACAGTGTTCTAAGTTACTTATACAAAAGAACAAAACAGATAATTACCAAATTATTAGACCAAAGAGTATATTATGATTTTATGTTTTATTATTTATGAAATAGCTTAATTTTGCTCAGTAGTTAGAAATACACACTATATATATGCACATATATATCTGTATATATATACATATATGTATAGTGTGTATATATATGTATAAAATAGTGTTTACATGTTTATGTGTATATATAGGCAAATATTTTTACTGTGTGATATTAAAAAGCCCTAAAGAATCACAAAATTGATGTTAATAAACTTGTGTGTAAGTGAACCATGGGAAGTAAAGTGCCATCCATGTTTGTGAAAAGTCTTTTTGTTTCACCCCAAAACAAATGCTGTGTGGTGTCATAAATTTGAAATGGCCACAAAGTGAAAAGCTCAAGAGACTCCCCCTTCTCTCTGAAATCATTTAGGGATTTGAAGGGATTCATTCGGCCAAAGATGGTCAATCCAGCTTTCAAAAGCCAGGAGTAATTCCATGATTTGTCCACTAGCAATTTCCTCAGTTCCTACTGTCATTTTTTCTATTTCCATAGCAAAGTTTAATTGTATAAGGAAAATTCCCTCTCAATAGGAAGCATCTTGAGTTTGCTTTAGTACTCTGGAGGGAGCTCAGTGGTACTACTTGCTTACAATATCAAGATTATAGTTGTATTCTCTTTTTTTTGCATTTATTTATTATGGCCCAGCTATTATTTCTATAGCATAACTCTAGTAGCCCCAATCTGCTACTTCTAAAGGGACTTCAGGTCAAATTTACAAACAATGATGGGGCCAAATGTCTCCCTTATCCCTCAAGGATGAGCCAGACTCCAGTGCAGATCACGCCTTATGATGAGTTCTCTTTCAAGACTGCATGGGACCATCTCCATCCATGACGACATTCTAGACTTGAACTTTGAAATGGCTACCGTCTCGATTTTTTTACTCCCTGGGAAATTTTGGTCTCAGTGTATCAAGGGATATTTGAAAGAGCAGCCTTGCAAATCACAAAAGACCTTGTTACATCCATCTTCCAAAGTAGAGGGTAACTACCCATCTTACAGCTGTGTACTAGTTTAGGAAAAAAGCTAGAAGATTGGCTCGAAAGTATCTATCTTCTAACTCTCATGACACAGACAATATGTCTGGCTGCATTGCTTTCTTTTTTTGGAGGGGTGGTTGTTGGGGCAGAGCAACAAGTTACATACAACATATTTCTTTCTAAGATATTTTGGTGCCTTTTTAGAAGTCTAATTTGATTTTTCAAATTCTAATTCTTTGAACAATAGCAATCCTAGGTGAAGATTGCATATGTAATAGCTGTGTAATAATGCACCTTATCATATACATCTGTCTAATATTCACAAAACTTCCTCTTTACTTTTTTTATTATATGCCATGACTATGATTTCAGAATGGCTTAGGGACTAGTTTATCCAAATTCCTCCTGCCTGTGGACTTACATTGGCTGGCGGAGGCCAAGCACTTTATAAAAGGAATAAAGGCCCTTCTGAAAAGAAAAAAACATGGAACCAATTAATTGTCTATCATTCTTTTCACCCTCCCTGGTGTCCTGACAGGATCCTCTTCAATTTGGGGCTTTCCTTCTTTCAACCAAAGTGGGTGATGATGGACGTTGCCCCAAATGTGTGGGCTCTTACAAAGGCAGGGAGCAGGGTTAGGGTTTCTAAGTTTTTAAATTAATTAATTTATTTTTGGCTGCGCTGGATCTTTGTTGCTGTGCCTGGACTTTCTCTAGTTGCATATAGTGGGGGCTTCTCGTTGCAGAGGCTTCTTTTGTTGCAGAGCGCCGGCTCCCGGGCTCCTGGGCTCAAGTAGTTGCAGTATGCCGGCTTGACTGCCCACTAGCACATGGACTCTTCCTGGCTCCGGCTGAGTCGCTGTGTGTCTGACTCTTTTTGGCCGCATGGACTGTAGCCTGCCAGGCTCCTCTTTCCATTGAGTTTTCCAGGCAAGAATACTGGAGTGAGCTGCCAGTTCCTTCTTCAGGGGATCTTTCTGACCCAGAGATCAAATCCATGTCACGTGCATTAGCAGGCGGGTTCTTAACCACTTAACCAGGGAGGTCCTCTATGCTTCTTTGAAAAGTTGGATAGAAGTTACAATCTCCATCTGGGATTCAGCATTCTTACATTTTCACTACCCCTACCAGCAGTCAGGGTACTCCTGACAAACTCATTCCAAACAAGTAGGGCTTTCTTCTCATGTCCTCAGAAAATCCAATCAGGGGTTCAGGAATTTAAATATTGTTTGCTGATCTGTACATCTTATTAGGGGAGTCTAATCCTGGTGCCCAGAACAAAGTTAGCTGTGATTATTCATGTGGTAGGGGCTGCTGTGGGCAGAATTGTGCCCTCCTCAACCCATAAATTCAGAGGTTGAAGCCCCCGCCACCTATGTGACTGTACTTGGAGGTCTGTCTAGGAGGTAATCAAGGTTAAATGAGATCAGCAGAGCAGGCCCCAGTCTGATGGGGCCAAGGCCTTAGAAGAAGAAGACAAATGAGATCTCTGTTTCTGTCTTTCCCCACCATGTGAGGACACCATGCATAAGGAGGTCACGCTCAGCAATCTCAGAAATAAACTCTCACCAGAGACCAAATGCTGGCACATTGACCATAGACTTTGAATTTCTAGAAATATGATAAAATACTTTTTTTACTTTAGCCACTCAGTCTATGGTGCTTTGTCAAGCTGGCCTGCGCCGATTAATACAGGAGACTGGGCTCTGGAGCCTGACACTTAACTGAATCCTATCTCTTTCATGTTTCTGGATGTGTGACTTTCACTAGGTACCTGCCCACTCTATGCCTCAATTTACTCCTCTGTGAAATGGGGACAGTAATATTACTTACCATTGGGATTATTTTTAGGATTAAATGATTTAACATTAGTAAAGCACAAAATAAGTTGCCTATTATTATTATTAACCCCAAATATGCTTAATACATACCTATGAATATTATCAAATCGTCTTGTCTAAGACAAACTCCAAAGTCAGAACAGTTGTCTTCAGGAAATTCTCCATACACAGCACATATTTTCTCCTTATTCTTTAAGATAGGTTAATCAAAAGTAATACTTTTAGGAAATTTTCTTTATGGCATCAGTCTCTGACAGATTGTACTTCAGAGGGGCAAAACTCTTATTTTTCTTCGTAACCCACAAAAGCATTTAAAACAAACACTCAGTGCATGTTGGTTGAGGGAAAAAAAAGGCCAGATGAAAGAAATAGAGGGAAAGAGAAAAGAATGATCAGAATATTTTATTAAATTTCTAAAAAATCTCCAGAAATTCAAAATACATGAATGTAGGCTGACATTAAAGCATATGTACATCTCATGTAGAATGCACAGTGAGAGAAAAAATGGCAGGATCACAAGTTAAAGAAAAACTAGCACCAAATTTGCATTTTCACTAATGCAGTCTTATGTGTGACTTTGTATCACTGAATAAGTGGCTTACTTCCTAAAGATGATGGTCAGGAAATCATCACACTTATGATTAGCATAATACTTAATATTATATCGGCTTTTTAGATAAAATTTAGTCATCACAAAAGAATTACTCACTGTGTTCATATTAAAAATAAAAATACTGTGTCAGAATGTAAAAACATGTTCCAAACCTTTCAAAATGTCAAACCATTGAAGTGTATTTAGGCATATCTCTACTAGAGACCCCACTTGGTTTTCAAAATAAAAATAGCAGCCCTTTATATTGTATAAAAACTTGCATTTCATTGCAGTTTGCATTCTGTTTAGAATTTCAAAGTATGTAAGTGTATTCAGGTTAATCTCTATTAGGAACCCCTATTTGTTTTCAAAACACCAATGACAGTTATGTATACTGTGTAAAAGCTTGCATGGCGCTATTGTTTACTTTCTAATACTTTTGTTCACAGACTCTGAGAATTTATCACAAGAAGATGGTCTCGAAGTCAAAGAGCCACTCCTTTTAGCCACGGATCAGCCAGCTTTGGAGGTCTGGGACATAGAGAATAGTTCATTGGAATCGTCTTTTGCAGATTCTTCTATAGTTTCAGGTACTTGGCGCACACACATATTTTACATGCACTAATTAACTACTTCCGGAAAAATCAATTGTTGCATTGATAACATTAGGATCTATTAAACAGAGGGAGGAAATTTGGACTTTAGGATTTTGTATTTGTACTCAGATAATATTTCTGAAGGAGATTAAATGAAAATTATTGCTCTTTCTGGCTAAAAATATTTTAAAGCTAATGCAATATTAATATATTATGAATATGAACACACTGAGTTCCAATTTTATTTTATAAAGATGTCCATGGTTCTTGTCATATGATAAATATCATAAGTGCATCCCATGATTTTCAAAGTACTTTCAAATACATGAATCAGTTTGACTCATCCGAAGTTCTGAGAATTAAATGAAGGTATTACCTTTTCCCTTTTTTACAGATTAGGGTGTCACAGAAAGGTTAGGCTGGGTTGTAGAAACCAAAACCAAGATTGTAGAAAGGAAGATGAAAGGGTTCTAAACAGGAGTTTGCTTGAATTTCAGTAACTAATTGGTGTTGGCTACTAGATGCCACCATATCCACCTCTTTTGATGTGAAACAGGCCTGGAAGAATGAAACAAATTTAACTGTTTCCCCTCCCTACTTTTCTCACAATAGGAGACCCCTTCATTCCTTCCCCTCTGTCCCTCAAATGGCCACGTTCATTTTTCACTGGAAATAGTTGCCGGAAGTCTGTGGTATACTAGTAAATGCTTACCAAGTGGCCCTGTAGGGAAGAGAAAAAGCCCTGATGCTCAGGATATGTCATCTTCATGCTGTAAATAGTCGCACCATGGCTGCTTTCAAGCGTCCACATAATGTCACTGAACACTGAGTTGGGAATAGATGTGCAGTACATTGTTTGCCATTTATTACATGGAGACAATAGACTCAAATAGCCTCAGCATCACTGATGATTGTAAAATCTACAAAAATGATTAGAAAATGATGAGTTTTAAGTATTCATTACCTTTGTTTTAATATAATTTAGTTAGTAAGTCCATATCATTTAATCTGTAAAGATGCTTGTGCTTAACATTAATAAAATTCCACAAAATTCCAAAAAATTTAACAGTTGTTCCTGTGGGCCAGTATAAGCTGACTCTATCACACTACTGCAAAATATGCTGTTTCAACTCAGAAAAGTAATATAGCTGCATTGTAGGAAATTTGGAAAACAGAAAACAAAGGAAAAAACCACTCCTCCTTTCCCAATAAAATACATTACTCTTCCTATTTGGGTATTTGTTCTTCTCATTTTTTTTACATACCTGGATGTCTATATACAATGGCATTTATACTATATTTATTAGATATTCTTCTACAGCATGATTTTTAACAATTGAATACCAAGTCCATCTATTGAATGCTTTTTAATTAATTAACCACTTTTTGAACATTTAGGATGTTTCCAAATTTCTACATCATGAATAATGCTGCAATAACTCTCTTTGTATTTATATCTCAGTTTAATTCTTTTTAAATTTATGTTTTATTCTTTAAAATTTACTTTATTGAAGTGTAATTGATTTGCAGTGTTGTCTCAATATCTGCTTACAGCAAAGTAATTCAGTTATATATACATTCTTTTTCATATTCTTTTCCTTTATGCTTTGTTTATTACAGGGTATTGACTGTAGTTTTTTGGGCTGTAGAGTGGGGCCTCGTTGTTCATCCATTCTCTATGTAATAGTTTGTGTCTGCTAACACCAAACTCTCAATTCATCTATCTCCCTACCCAGTTTAATTCTTAAAGACATATTACATAATTGAAATTTCTGGATCAAATGATTTCTACAGTTTTAAGGCATTTGATATTTAATGCCATATTTTACTCCAGGAAATTGTATTAAACAGTGTAGGGGAATACTTACTGTCCTGAAGTCTCCTGTACAAGGGTGGGCAATGCTGTTTTTAAACTTTACCAATTTGCTATGTTACTACCTGAATTTGAGTTTTTAATTTCCAGTGAAAAACGTCTTTACAAGTTCATTCTTTTTGTTGTTGTTATTGCTAATTGCCTATTTTTCTTTTAGGGCATTTATATTCTTCTTGCTGGTTTAGGTGAATTAGCTAAATATGTAGGGTAGCAATCCTTTGTCATAAATAGTACCGAGGTTTTTTATAGCTTGCCTGTAATTTAGCCTTGTTTGTTTAAGGTGTTGGGTTTTTTTAGTGGGATACTTCTGAAGCATTAATGTGCTTATGAGTCACCTAGAAGAGGGGGTCTTATTGAAATGCAGATTCTGTCCTTTTCACTTGCTCCCAGGTGATGCTGCTACTGCTGATCTTGGACCACAGTTTAATGGACAGAATAGCACACCTGAATTCTAGAGGATCTTTTTTTTTTTTAAATTTCAGCAGCTCTGCTTTCTTTCAAAAATCATGATTGTATGGGAATGCCAAAATTACTACCCGAATGTGGATTTTTCACATTTTAATAAACTTCCTTGTTAGGCTACCTGACATCTCTGTGGGTTACTGGCTATTTTCTAAATTCACACTAGAAAGAATTAAAGCCAGGACTGAGGCTGGTAGTCGATCTTCATCTCAAATGAAGGGTTTTCATCAGACTTGCCAGCCTAATGCATCTTGTCAGCCTGCAGTATCTGTGAAACATTCAGAGTCTCAGAAAGGACAAAATTAAATGCAAAACTTTTTTTTTAAAATCTGTTTTCTGGGACTTCCCTGATGATCCCGTGGTTAGGACTCCAAGAATCCACTTCAGCGGGGCATGAGTTCGATCCCTAGTCAGGGACCAAGGATTCCACAGCCATGCAAGGTGCATCTTAAAAAAAAAAAAGAAAAAAATCTGTTTTCTTACTATTTAATATAAAACATAAATTTGCACCATGTGAAAAAATCTGGATTTTAAAATAATGGTCTTGAGGGACAGGAAAGGATTTGTTTTCCTTCTTGGGGTCCCCTCCCTCCCTTTCTTTCACTTCCCTTTCTTTCACTTCTTCCTTTTAACAAATCTTTATTAAACTATTGTGTGCCAGGCGTGCGCTTTTCAGGTCAGCACTGTAAATATTGTGATGAAACGAAACGGAAGTGGCTTCTGCCCCAGCAGAGCGTTCAGTGATGGGCATGTCAGCCAGGCAGTAGTCACTCTGTAAGCTGCAGAAAGTGCTGTGGGAGAAAGGTACATGCTCTTAAGGTGTACACTGGTCTGAGCACATGTACAGCATGCTGTACCGTAATCTGAGGACTCCAACCAATTCAAGACTTTAACAGCTGCTAGGCCCTGAGGTTCTTGTGCTGTCCGAACTTCTGTGGACTTGGCAACAGGTTCATCCTATCCACGCTGGCCCTTTCCAGAACAGTAAGAACGGGTAACTGACCTACAAAAGTATAATGCCTTTGCTTCAGGCCTTGACACTGCTCCTAATAGATGTAGATCATCCCAGTTACTTGTTTCTTTTCTTGTTGTTCTTCAGAACTAAGAGTTACAGATGTAAATGACTTTTAAAGAATCATTATCCACAAAGAAGTTATTGGAATTCTTTTGACAGAAGTTTTTGTTGCAAAATTAACTGTAGAAGGATTTTGCCTACGTTGTTATTATTTGGCAAGCTTAACAATCAGGATAAATATGAAAGTATTCAATATTGAAAATATTCAATAATATCAACTTACACAATTTTGTGCATCATACTGATGATAATGTATAATCTTTAGTTTGAAGTTCAGTACATCAGGTTAAGATTCCAAGTACAGTTACCAAGGTAGCATTGAAAGAAACTTATTACTTAAGCTATACACATTCTATAAATATGAAATTTCATATGCAAAAAGAAAAAATGTGGCTTGAATTATTTCTAATTTTAAATTAGACTTCTCTAAGTTTTATTTCCAAATCAATTTCTAAAATATTTTTTTTCAGGGCACAATAGTCTTTGTGGATACAAATGATAAATATTTATAGTTTTAAGGCAAAGATTCTTTATATATTGTTTTTAACCTTTTTTACTCCTTAACACTCCTGTCAGGTAATACACATTAGCATTAATAACAGTGGCCCACCGTGAAACTGATTTTAATCACATCTCTCTTTCAACTTGGGGGTGATAGATCAGAATTCCCTAGTGGGCAGTCCTGAACAGTCATTTTTGTCATGCCTCTGCATCGGGGGTTGGCATTTCTTCTTCCTTTCTCCTTTCAACTGCTTCCCTTTAAAAAGTGGTTAATAATTAAGATAGACCCACACTAATACAATAATCTGTTTTTTTCCCACACTAATAAGATAATTTCTAAAGGATATTTGAATAGTTCTCAGACTATTCATAAAATTTTAATGCTGGATGTAATGGTTCTGCTTTCTGAAGTCACTGGTCATTTTCTAACAAGAAACTATTGGAAAACTTTGATGTTTCTCTGGACCACATGTCCCTAGAAAATATCAGAGGGACACAAAGCCCACATTCATTTTCTTCTATTAAAAATAATTTAACTATAGAAAATATACAGTTATCTGGTATATGTTAATTTTATAGGCTTATGGTAAAATTGGTTATGCAGTCATTTTTAATTTCTACTGTTAACTTTGTTAAAACAAACAAGTGGTTATTTACTTATTTGACCTTTTTAATACACTATTTTATAAATTAGTGCCCTATAATTAGATAAAAACAAAGCAAATGAGATTTAAAATTAAATAATAAAATTTATTGTGTTTGGGATGAACTCACTTTTATGCAGAATTCCGCAGAGAATCCCCCAGACTTCTTTTACCATTCTTTGCTGGATTTCCCTGTTACGAAACTAGAAAATGCAAGTTCCGCAAATTGGACAGCAGAGGGCGCTTTGACATTTATAAAGAGAGCAGAATGTCACTGTTCCCGGGTGGAAGATTATAATGTAACAGGATGAGTGTGCCATGTGTGAATACACGGTGCGCATGACTGTGAGTGCATGTGTATATTTTGATTTATATATTCGTTCACGTGAAGATTTTAAAATTCCACCCCAGCTAATGAGCTTACCAACCTGCTTGTTTT